ATCATAATTTTTTCCTTGGATTCCTAGTGGAACATACAGCTTCACTAGCACCTCTCCAGTGCACTCTCTTCTCTCCAGTCATTTCAACCTGGCACCACCAATGCCCACAAACTTTCATCTCTTCCTTCCTCAAACCATCTCCTCCATGTCACCCTCGGCACCAACGCCCAACTCCCCGTTCCCCATATGAGTTCCACTCCAGAGCCTCGCCACGCCACGCCAGACCAGGCCAGACCTGACGCATGATATCCACGAATGGTACTCTCAGTGCATGCTCTATCCATCTACACTTCCTTCTGCATATTTGTTGTGAGTGATAGGTTCTTGGTTGGTTCGTTCCAAGCCAGCCAGACAAACAGAGCTCCTTGTTGTTTATTCTTATTATTCTGGCCATCAATCTGATCTTCAGTATCGAGTGAGTGTAGGTGGCAGCTGTTGATGGGTGTTTGTAGATTGTTGGAAATGCTTTTCGTAACACGACAAGTCTCTCAACCATCACATAGAAGCACTGACTTACTTGACTGGCATTAGTGTTGAAAATTCGGATGTTGTTCACGTTTTATGCTGAGTGCAGTGCAGTGCAGTGCAGTGGAGTGCAGTGGAGTGGAGTGGAGTGGAGTGGAGTGGAGTGGAGTAGATCTAGTTACAGACTATTTCAGATTAATGAAGACATGTTTTGGTGTCTTTGCGATCGTGGCTGGCTTTGATGTCGTTACCTGTGCCTCCGCCATGTGTAGTTGAGATGATGCTGTCTAGGTGGTTAGGTGAAAGAGACTACTTCCTTTAGGTCTCTCCCGTTGATATATGTATATATACTTAGAAGTTTAGGTTTGTCTGCTAATGTGAATGCATCTCAGTACATTTATCAGTTATACTGCATATATACTGACTAACGCATACTTAGTGATTCCCCTAACTGTAAATTAGTGTGCATGTAGAATATTCGTCTTCCACCGATTAACGAAGAAAAATCAATCGAAAAGTTGTTAAGATGATTTTGTTTGAGATTATTCATATTTTGATGGGGTTGTCTTCTCTAAGATGAATACTTGAGTCATAAAGCTTTCATTGTACTTCTAGACAAGATCATCAGCACAAACTTCAGAAAGAAGTGAGCTATGAGGTTTTCTCTACACTTGCTCTTCTTAATGGCTTTATGGGATGATTCATTGTTTCTGCCGAAGTCTTGTCATTGTTTACATATTTACTTGATTAGTTGTCCTTCTGATATGAATTTTGACCTTCTTGTTGTTTCTCATTGGTTGATAGATTGGGCCAATGTCAATATATCTGTTGATTACTAAAATGATCCTAATTACCATGCGTCTAATAATTCTTTGGCATTCTTTATATTTACTTTCTCTAGGATTTTCACATTTTCTCAGTCATATTCATATCAATAGTTGTCCTTATGTATTGATATGAGTGAAGATATGTCATGACGCTCTACTACTGGTTGATGTTTCTTGTAGACGGATATGAAGAGGATGACAATTCTGTTGGATATTATGTTTTTCTCAGTTTCTACAGTTCATTTTATAGATTATATCTGGTTTGTCTTCTTTGTTATTGTATCTTTTGATTCGATTGACAGAAAGTGAAGAACTTCATGGATCTTGGTGATTAGGTGAAAAATCTAGGAAATTTGTTTCGTCCTATTTCTGACTCATCAGACAGATATACTTGCACCTCAGTGAGTAATATTGTTCCCTCCGAGGTTCGAACCCAGTATCTTTCATTTCAAACACTAGAGCGTTATCCACTAAGTCAGTGGATGGAGTAAGTCTATTGGCTTGTGAACTATAATGACTTCGAAAAGTTTCAGTAATCTTTTCATGATCTCAAAGACATTTTTCCTATAGGGTAGGAGAATCCGTTTGTTGTTTTCCAAGTGTGATTTCTTAGTTGATGATAAATTATGCTGAGAACTTTTTGATGAATTTGAGTGAATAACCGTTATTTTGCATAATTTATTTATTGACGCTAATGACTTCCAATTGATTATTATACTGAATCGAAATGATTCGTTTTTTTCAGCATAGTGGATGCTTCAATGTTATTATATTATTATTATTATTAGTCCCTTGGGTTCCTAGTGGAACATAGGGCTTCAGTAACACGTCTCCAGTGAACTCTGTTCTCTAAAATCTTTTGAACCTGGCTCCACAACAGCCCAGAAGCTCTCATTTCCTCCTCGCACGATCTCCTCCATGTCACCCTCGGACGTCCAACTCGTCGCTTCCCATGGGGATTCCACTCGAGCAACTGGCCTGACACGTGATGTCCGCAGTTGACCTTCTCAGTGCATGCCCAATCCATCTCCACTTCCTCCTGCATATTTGTTGCTTCAAGTTAATTTTGATGCATAATATGTGTGTGTGTGTGTCAAGAATTAACTAACTGGACTCCATATGAATTCATAACTTTAGATTATTGTTATAGAAAGTGTAGCTCTGAGATTAACTTGAACTTCGCTAACAAGAGAATACAAATTTATGTTCCTTGAGTTTCAATAAACTAGCTAATTTTATGACCGAAACTGTTTATTACTTGAATTTTCCACTAAAGTTTTGAGTGAATTTTTATTCGTTTGCAGTGAGATGAATAGGTTTTGATTATGTTCATATCTGACATTGACTTCAGTTTGTATACATTAATACCAGTTTTCAAATTTTTATTACATTCCGTACAATATATATATACTTCGCCGATGATTTATGTATACTGCCGCACAAACTCGATGATCTACAGGCAAAAACTAACAAGTTGACAGAAGAGTCAGCGAAGATAGGACTTCCATCAGGTGAACGTAGAGAAGACAGAGGTAATGAAGATACCCAGTCAGCGCCACCACCACCACCACCAACAAGCTCCAATCACCATCAACGGAAGAAATCTAAAAGAAGTAGTCTCTTTCACCTAACCACCTAGACAGCATCATCTCAACTACACATGGCGGAGGCACAGGTAACGACATCAAAGCCAGCCACGATCGCAAAGACACCAAAACATGTCTTCATTAATCTGAAATAGTCTGTAACTAGATCTACTCCACTCCACTCCACTCCACTCCACTCCACTCCACTGCACTCCACTGCACTGCACTGCACTGCACTCAGCATAAAACGTGAACAACATCCGAATTTTCAACACTAATGCCAGTCAAGTAAGTCAGTGCTTCTATGTGATGGTTGAGAGACTTGTCGTGTTACGAAAAGCATTTCCAACAATCTACAAACACCCATCAACAGCTGCCACCTACACTCACTCGATACTGAAGATCAGATTGATGGCCAGAATAATAAGAATAAACAACAAGGAGCTCTGTTTGTCTGGCTGGCTTGGAACGAACCAACCAAGAACCTATCACTCACAACAAATATGCAGAAGGAAGTGTAGATGGATAGAGCATGCACTGAGAGTACCATTCGTGGATATCATGCGTCAGGTCTGGCCTGGTCTGGCGTGGCGTGGCGAGGCTCTGGAGTGGAACTCATATGGGGAACGGGGAGTTGGGCGTTGGTGCCGAGGGTGACATGGAGGAGATGGTTTGAGGAAGGAAGAGATGAAAGTTTGTGGGCATTGGTGGTGCCAGGTTGAAATGACTGGAGAGAAGAGAGTGCACTGGAGAGGTGCTAGTGAAGCTGTATGTTCCACTAGGAATCCAAGGAAAAAATTATGATATATATATATATATATATATATATATATATATATATATATATATATATATATATAAATGATAATTTTTGGAAACACCAGTATCAGTTCTCCTTAGAAGTTGGAAATTTGGACCGTTGGTTCTTGATCCAGTGGCTCGGTGGTAACTTATTGTTCACTGAACCCCAAAGTCCTGGTTTCGATCCCAGGCCGGGAGATATTATGAGTGCGCACTGACGAGGAACCTCGTAGTCGGACGAAATAGGTATCCAGTGCTCCAGTATTTCTCCAACTCGTCTGTCCATGATGGATGCCAATTTGAAATTCATTCTGTTATATTCATCTTGGTGACTAGTAGTGGAATCCAGGATGTGAGTTTCGTCCTATTAAGGAGTCGTCAGTTGGGTGTGCCTGCACCCCGCTTTGGCTCGAACCCCATCTTCATCGTTTCAAACTGTGACAAGCTGTGAGGTCAAGAGGGTTTGTTTTGTCGGGATACACCATTGATGAACTCAGCTTAAAACAAGCCAACCAGTCGCCCAGTATTTAGATCACTCTGATGCGGCTGGTGAAATCTGCAGATCTGCCTGAATGGCACTTAACTACCCACGTTGTTCACTAGTGTAGTAACTTCTACATGTGACCTTCTTTTTACTGAATTCTTGAGGTAGGAGCGTCGAGGCGAACACTCCTCATAACGACCACTGTACTGCTTATTTCTCTACAGTTGTTACGTTGATTTAATTGTATTCTCAGTGTTGCGCAGCTGTTAGTCAAGTTCAAGTTAAAGTAACACCTGTGAGGTCAAAGTTCAAGCAATTAAAATATTTAGCTGTAACACCTTCTGGAATGGTAAAGATAAATATTTCAGAGCAACAAGTTATGCTGTAAGTCACCTAAGTGTACTAGCATGTTTTACTAACTCATGTATGAACTCTTGAACAGTAACCTTCCAATTTCCACCATTATAATCGCCCGATTCTTCTGATTAGTAAAGTTTGACACAAATATGTTGAGGTTCAATGACTTTCAGTTTCTTGAAGGAATAGAACGATTAAATAGCGCTCATCCTAACAATAACAGAGTAATCTGTTGTTCTGAGGATCAAATCATTAATTTCTAATTAACAGAATATTACACTGATCATGTCATCTGTTTGCACAGTGAAACAACCAACAATTCACCAATCACAATGCAGAGAACAACTTTCAAGGTAACACCACTCTTGTTCAACATTCAATCCATCGAAAATTTAAATCTTTTATGTAAAAATACTCAGATCCTCTTTTATTTTAATTATATGCATTGACTTTTTTAAAAAAAGAGATATTTTTTTAAAATTACAGTTTCATAGAATTTTCAATCGGTTTCAATAAAGAATAATTCGGTGGAAAACCAAGTTGAGCATATCCTAATTTGTGCAGAAGTTTACTATTCAAATGAATTGTTTCCACTAATTGTCTTGGTAGAATTGAATCATTATTTGCCCATGATAATAAAGAGTTTTCATGAATTTTATTGATGACTTGTTTTGAACTTGCTTCATATCTGTGTACAGTTTGTTATTAAAACAAAAAAAATGGCGGGCTAAATAGTTTGAATTAAAAAACTATGAAAATGCTTAACTTTTAAGTGATCATTATCTAATAGGGGGAAACGGAGTTTTTTTAAGATAAGTCAAACTTTGGTAAGTAATCGATTTTATTTAGAAGTTTCATTTTTTGTCAGTAATGATTCACGTGAGATGAGTCTATCAACTTCAATTTAAAAATCTGTGAACTCATTAGGTGGGTAGTAAGACGAACAAAAGTTGGGTACGGTGATCAAATTTTGTAAATTATCTACAAACTGCATGATCCACGTTGATATTCCTCCCGCTTGAGAGGTTTTCCTCGCACTTTGTCCTAAAATACCCACCACCTGCAGCCACAGAACTACCAGTGAACACAAGCCCTCCGACGTAAGTTGAAGTTCTGAACGCAATTAAGCTACCGAAATGCGGGAGAGCAGCAGGACCAGATGGAATTCCTCTAGAAGCACTGAGAAGAGACGCAGAGATAACGGAGATACCTTGTCAAACTACCGAAGAAGGGAGACCTATGTGTTTACAAGAACTGGCACGGAATCATGCTCCTGTCCACCCACACCAAGCAAAATATTAAGCCGCATCATCCTGGAGAGACTTAAAGATGCTCTGCATTCAAAACTACGACCGGAACAGGCTGGCTGGCTGTCTGGCTTCAGGAAGTACGAATGATGTGCGGACCAAATTGAAATGCTACGCCACACATCATCATAGAATAGAGCATATAATGGGAGTCAAATCTCTACCTGAACTTCTACTTTGAAAAAGCTATCGACAGCGTCGATCGAGAAGTAATTTGGCAGCTACTGCTTCATCACTACGGTTTTAGTGCGACAAACCTTAGTCAACCTCATTCAAGAACTATATGAAGACGCCATATGCCAAATGATTGACAATGGGGAGCTCAGTGATGCGTTTGAAGTGAAGATGGGGTACAGGAGTAAGACAAGGTTGCCGTTTACTATCATCACCGATGTTCTTCCTGATTGTGGTTGACTGAACTTGATGATGCAGCAGACAACTGTGAGAAGGGAGAAGATAGGCATACACTGATTGACCGATGAAAAGACCTTAGACGATTTGGATTTTGTCGGTGATGACTTGTGTCTACTGTCTTACAAACTCGAAGATCTACAGACAAGAATTAACAAGTTGAGAGAAGAGGTAGGGCAGGGCAGGGCAGGGCAGGGCAGGGCAGGGCAGGGCAGGGCAGGGCAGGGCAGGGCAGGGCAGTGAAGATGGTTCTTCAAGTGAATGTAGAGAAGACAGAGGTTGGGCGTCCAAGGCGAGGGTGACATGGAGGAGATCGTATGAGGAAGAAGTGAGAGCTTCTGAGCAGTCGTGGCGCCAGGTTGAAAAGATTGCAGAGAATAGAGTGGAGTGGAGACGTGCTAGTGAAGCCGTATGTTCCACTAGGAACCCAAGGGACAAATAATAATAATTATAATAATAATGAGAGGTTTTCCAACTGCCCAGCAGTAGTGTCAACAGGGTCTCCGTTGTGATGTCCTTTAGCTTATTTGAGCTTGAGATTCATGAACACCGCTGATGACCTTGACCCAAAATGGATGAAGTCGTACTCCGGTGTGACTAGTGATACTTACAGATCCAGCGGAGTGGTTTGTAACTATTCAAGTCGTAGTAAAGTAGTAAATCTCACTCTTTTGACTTCATCAAAATTTTTCACCAAGATTTTACTGTTCTTAGTTCCAAGAAACTGTTTCTTTTCACAGTATCTTGCTGTTATACTTTCTTCATTGAAGAAGATCCTGTCCTTTTGATGCTAAAGTATTCAATATAGTGCTTAACTAGCCTGGTGCTTTTTACTCAGGGACATATGCAACATCAGTGAAAGTGAAGGTTGAGTTTGAATAGAAATTCAAACAAGGAAGTTTTCATCATGGGTTGATCGAGATCAGTTGATGAAGCATTGAAAACCTTAGGGCACTAAACAGCTGTTTCTTCCAAGTTCAGAACTCCTCAGTAGTGTACACTAATATCTTCGTGGGGAATGGAATCCAGAAACATCAAACTTCACGATGAGTGTGTTATCAATCAACCTTTAGGTTGCTGCACTCTTCCTACCTTTTACTTTTCACTGTATGGTATCACCATCATCCAGTGTCATCAGTAGACTCCCATCTCACCCCTGACTTATTCGACTTGATTATTCAGTACCCTCAGGCTTTCAATTACTCTCCATTCGACGTCAATTCATGTTGAAAAAGCCATCTTGGAGTCGATTAATCGTAACAAATGATAATTAATTACTATTCAATCAAAGCTAATTAAGATTGATGGCAACCTACTTCTTGATAATCAGATAGATATGAAGAATACTAGGCATGAAACTACCCGATAACGATTCCATTTGTTACATGTCACACTGGAAAACCAAGACAGAAGATAATAATTGTAAAAAAATAACAAAGAAGTGGTATCGCTAGAAGTTATGAAGATCGTATGAAGATATGTGTAGAAGATAAAGGAAATAAAGATTTTGGAATATTACAGTTTCGACACAAACAGGGTAATCATTTGTATGTTTCACTACGACTAGTTTCGAGGTATATCATCTAGAGTCTCCGATTGTTAACTTCTATTGTATCGCAGGCTGAAACCACATAGACTATACTTCTCTACAGGGGTTTAAGCTAACAGTCAAGCTTTTGATGCATTCACATATCATATCTTGATATAGCAACCGCTGAATTTTGTTTACTTTCTAATCCCATCCTGGCTGATATCACACATTGTCTACTTGTATGCAACACAATCAGATGACTTCAGTCAACATGGACTCATAACATCATAAAACGATATATTCCAGTCCCTTGTTATAACTATACTATTCACCGTTTACAAGATTTTAGAATTATGATGATGTGCAGTAGCTGAAAAAAAAATACTGTGTCATTCCATTTTAGTCTGTTTATTAGAAATATCACACAGTGAAACAGTAGCATTAACTGGATCAACTCATTAACCGCTTCATTGAAGTTAAGACCTTTCTCTAGCACTTTCACTGCTGTTGAGCTTAGGACTCTACTTGAGAGATTTACGACCCACTTTGACTTATCGATCATCGGCGATATATTATTATGATTATTATTTGTCCCTTGGGTTCCTAATGGAACATAGGGCTTCAGCAACACGTCTCCAGTAAACTCTGTTCTCTGAAATCTTTTCAACCTGGCTCCACGACAGCCCAGAAGCTCTCATTTCCTCCTCGCACGATCTTCTCCATGTCACCCTCACCTCGGACGCCCAACTCGTTTCCTCCTATCGGGGTTCCACTCTAGGGTCTGATGCGTGATGTCCCCAATCGGCCTTCTCAGTGTATGCCCAATCCAATCTATCTCCACTTCTTTCTGCATATTTGTTGAGCGATGGGTTCTTGGTTGGTTCGTTGCCAGCCAGCCAGAGTTCTTTGTTGCTTATTCTCATTATTCTGGCCATCTGATTTGATCTTCAGTAACGAGTCAGCGTAGGCAGTTGTTAATAAATGTCTGTAGTTTGTTGGAAATCCCTTTCGTAACGTGCTAAGTCTCTGAACCACACAGGAGCACTGAATTGACGTTGGTGTTGAAATTCGGATCTTGTTCCACATGCTGAGTGGAGTGCAGAAGATCTCCACACTGGTTCCAGGCTAATGAACTGTCTTGCTTTTCCGATCCTGGCTGCTGTGACATCCTCGTCTGTGCCACTGCCGCCTGTAGTTGGAACAATGCTGCCTAGATAGGTGAAGGAGGCTACTTCCTTTAAGTTTCTCACATTGGTGGTGGTGGTGTTGTTGATTGGGTATCTTCGTCACCTCTATCTTCTCTATATTCACTTGAAGTCCCGTCTTCGCTGCCCTGCCTCGCCTCTTCTGTCAACATGTTAGTTTTCGGCTGTAGATCATCAAGTTTGTGTGACATCAGACACAAGTCATCGGCGAAATCCAGATCTTCTAGGTTTTTTTCCGCAGTCCAGCCAGCGTATTCCCCTCTTCTCGCAGCTCCCCACTGTTTGTTGCATGATTCAGTCGACCACAATCAGGAATGTCATGGGGTATAGTAGGCGGCAACCTTGTTTCACTCCTGTCTTCACTTCAAAAGCATTACTGAGCTTCCCATCATCGGTGATATGCTATTGTTAATTTCATTACTGTTGACTGCATGTTTTTCTTCCATAAGTTTGTTGAACTTCTTAATCTGAGTATTTTTGAATTTCTTGGATGCAGCTGATCTTGCTTTATTGAAATTGTCCATAAGAAGCTCATAATCTTTTTCACTAACTGTTTGTCCTTTTTGACTATTCTATGCATTTCTTCTTTAAGACAGAGTTTACTGACACATCCTATAGCTGCTTTGACTTTGTTTATTGGAATCGGTGCACGTAGACGTAGATATTTAGGAATGATTTGATTTCTAAGACATCGAATATTGAATATGAATATGGACAATAAATTGTATCCGAAACATTATCCAGTAAATGCTCCTGTTTCACTGTGTGTTATTCCTAATAAACAAACTAAAATAGAATTACAATCGACCACAGTGCCCAAGTTTTACACTTATATTAATACTGTATCATATTATAAACTAGGTTTGGTGTGTTTGGAGCGGATGCTTGTTCTTTTGACTGGTCATTATGCTCATTTCAACAGTTTGTAAAGGAAAGGCATGGACAGTAGTCAAATTGAAATATCATAATTACTAACAACAGAGTTATTTGGAACTTTGTTATGAAATACAATTGAAATTCACCGTCTATCTTCAAAAACAACACAGTTTTAACTTACGGACTCAGATTGGAAACTTTTTTAATCACAGTTTCATGTTTCAGCACTACTGGATCCCAAGGTAAGCCAAGAAAACCTGAATAAACGAGAAAACGTTGGAAGAAGAAGACAAATAGTATACGGTACATTTTTATAGTAGTTATGAATAGTGGCTAGCAGTAGATTCCACAGTGTACGTTTCTTTTTATCTAGGACTCGTCAGCTGGATATGTTAGTCGCATCCACAGCAAGTGATTCCGCTCTCTCGACACTGAAACTGGAAGTTACAGTGGCTATAGTGATTCAGTAGTCTAGTGGATAACATTATGATGTTTGAAGCGATGAGTTCTTGGTCTGAGTCACTGGGAACATCTAGCCAAAGAGTCTCAAACAGGACGAAACGCTCATCCTAGATTCCACTACCACCTACTATCCATATCATAATTGAAAATATCAGCAATACCGAGGCACCCACACAGGCTAAAACATCATTTAATTTGTTTACAATCGTAGATTTCTAGAAGTTGCATGAAAAAGTAACTCGTTTTATCATTAAAATTTTGAAAAGGATTACTTCTTTGTTCTGGTAGCTTATTCTATTAGGGATCGTAACAGTTTTCCTGAAACTTTAGACACATGTTTATTTACGAAGCAAAAAAGTAAACTCCTTGTAGTATACACTTATACTCAGGATGATTTAATGAGGTAACCTCATCAACTAGACAGTTGTGAAAACGCTTACGTCTTCTAATAGGTTAACGGACGTTACATCGGTTTGTAAACCGGGAGTGAGCTATTTCAGCATTTTTAGTCATTTTTTAAGTACTTATCTGATGATTAAATTTGACTTGGCGCTCAAATTCTTCAAGGACACTCATAACAAATATGAAGTGGATAGTTATAATGCCTAACGATTAAGTTGAAATTCAATGACCGTCTTCAATTTCAATTACTATTCATTGACCTTGAATATTAGTTTCTAATTTTCTTTTATCTGTTATTAGAGGGAAAAATAAACTCTTTAAATTTGATCAGTGTTAAGTGAATTTGTTCAAATGAAACCAGTTGCAAATTCTGCTTGACAACCTTATAACTAATTAAAACTCAGAGTCATATTACTTAGGTCAAATAGATGAAAAGGTAGGGATGATGACCTAAACTTGGGTTGTGGTTATCACCTGAATTTTGTAGCTCAGCTGGTGTGCCATAGCATCGAGAGCAAGGATAAAACTTGTTCTAGTCTTGGAGTTAATTAAATTTCCTTTAACTTTCAGTTCTCAGCTCCCTAGAAGTAAGGATGTCTTTTGATGTTAGATATTGGGTGTCAACTCATACAAAGCCCTGAGTCACCTAAGTTTCGTGGTTGTTGGCACTCATCCGCGAGTCACATATACAAACTAGGTGATATAAAACCGGCGTCACTGAGTGGTAACTTTATCTCTACGCTTTCCAGGTTACGACTAACCCTTATAAGATTGAATTATATGCACAAATTAGAAGTTGTGGCGAATCTTTGAAGTTCAGGGTGTAAATTTTTAGAGTGAGTTATCCTTTGAGTTAGAGTTTTGCTTGGCAAACGTTGCAGTGTCATGCTAGATATTATCATGAGTGCATAGGAAGTTCGCAAGGATATTTATAGCGTGTTACTTCGCCTCGGTTTGATTTGATTGGTAGTCTGGTGAATGCGTGGGCGTGAGCTGAACGTGATTAGTTGACTTACTGCTTCTAGTTTTCTCAGACGAGTATGGATTGATAGGTAGAAGAAATGCCTGTCTAGTCCTTGGTCTTCAGTGGTGGCTTGAATCAGCTGAGCAAGTTTACAGCGTGGTCACTCAGCTAAATGATACAACAGTACTGTCGACTGAGGACTAAATAGTTACCTCATTTATTCACTGATGATCTGTTCTTGTATTGACATTTGTTCGTCAGTCAAGGCTTTCTGATATATTCTATCAGGAGGCTTGTACAGGTCTACTACTTGATTTCAGGTCGAAATTCATCATGGACTGAAATCAGTCGGAGGAACATTAGAAACCTAGGAGCACTGGATAGTAGATGTTCCATCGTCGTATGGGACTCCTCAGCTGCGTGCACACACTACTCTACCCTACTAGAGATCGAACCCACGACTTTCAGTTTCCCGTGGCCACCACGTTACCATTGATCCACTGGGTGGCTATCTAATGGTCCATATTTCCTACTTCTCTTAGTTCACAATATAGTGCGACCTACATTCAATATCATTGTTGAGTAACTATCCTCATATTGTTTAATTAACACGTCATCAACAATGTCGAGAAAAACAAGAAAAGATAAAAGAAAAGAACCTACTCAACACTCTTTGTACTTCATTCTGTGTATTTAAAATTAAATCTTCATAACGTACAGTTATACATTGGGATGAACCAATCTTTATACATTCTTTCAATATTATTGTTGTTAAATCCTCCCAATAAGTGAATGCTTTATATGGTTTATTAGGAATGTATAATGGATTAACTTTTCGTCTAAATTAAATAATTTTAATAAAAAAATAACAGTATAAGAATTGCAATAAATTAACAATGAATAAATAATTACTCTTCAATATAAACAAATGTGTGTAATATTTTAATGTTGTTACTTATACTATCCCATCTTTGAGTGGACCGAATCGATCAGTCTTGATTAGTATATAGGCTTTCACGTGGATACCTAGATATATGGACAGGGGCTATGATGACTTGGTGGTGTAGTAGATAACGCTCTGGCGTTTGAAGTGACTGGTCCTGAGTTCGAGTCCTGATGGGAACAATATCGCTTACTGGAAGGCAGGTTCATTCAATTGAAGAGTCTAAAACAGGACGAAACACGCATCTTAGCTTTCACTGCTAGCTGCTATCCATCAATACATGTGTGAAATAGTTTAAAAATCTGCATTAAATCATTAAATAAAGGACGTTTAGCGAAGAATCACTCTTTTCAGCAATATCATTCTCATGCTATACAATCGCATACGTTAGTGTTTTATTCACTTGGTGACAGAAATAGATTAAAGGGACTGGTAAATGTAATGAAAAATCAGAAATAAACGGGGTGATGGAATGTAATGTGTGGGAGGAGATGTGAAAGAAAATATTTTGACGATGCAATGTTCTTATATGTCATGTTCATTGCATTTCAAGTGACTAGACAAATTTCTTTAGAATGCAGAATTAAGTCTTCAAAATATCAATTACTATGGCTTCCTCAGATTGAAGAAGTTTTAGGCATACACCTTACATGAAGCTTATATGAACTCTATAGATGACATCGGATAGTCATGATCAGTTACATGTTCTAAAATAGAACTGTGAGGTACTCCTTAATGAAACGAGACTGGTATATGTTTGTAAATACATTTGGAAAGCAAGTTGTGAGTACAATCAACATAAGTCACTCCACTGGAGTAGACGAGTTGAGATAAACACATATTGAGATGGTCAAGACATTTAGCTTATCTATGCGCATAATCAAAGCATTGGGTAAGTACTGAAAGTTAATTAAAGTTTGGAAGCATAGAAATTCCTTCTCAGTATATTTGCTGATGCATCTCCGTTGAACTGTATACTAATGAAAAAAAAGGCTTCTTAAGAGCTTCCAATTTCATAGTTTTAGCAATGAAATACTCAGCATACTGGTTTTCAATCAAAACATTCTTGAGAAAATTAAGTTTATCTTCCAAAGTATCATAACTTCAGGTAATGTTGATTCTATGATACACAGACAAAATCCGGATTTCGTTTGTTGAATAGAGGCATCTGGCTATGAAAATTTGTAAGTTGTCCGTCTTATGTGGATTTTTTGTGGATCAACCTTCTGAGTAAACCATTGTTTCAGCTTTCCAGGTGTATATCTAAAAGGATATGTTAGAATTAAGTTCCTTAACTAACATAAACCAGATTTTGAGGGAGTTGTGGAGATTTGGAATTATTTCAAGTTGTTATTCATCGTAGACTGACATCAATAACATCAATAACAACTTGAAATAATTCCAAATCTCCACAACTCCCTCAAAATTTAATTGAACTGGTGCTCATTGGTGACTAGTTTCCAGAAGGATTCCCGAAGTTCCAATGACAAGTCGTGACCGGTGGAGTCAAAGCCTGATGCCATGAGGACAGATACTCAGCGATGACATTGGGTGGCGGTTGCGCTATATATCGTGAGCTAAGAGAAGTTGGAAATATGGAGCATTGGATTGTGACCCAGTGGCTCAATGGTAAAGCGGTGGCCGCGGGACCTGAAGGTTGTGGGTTCGATCCATGGTGGTGGGGTCGTGGGTGCACACTGCTGAGGCGTCCCATACTAGGACGAAACAGCTGTCCAGTGTTCCCAGGTTCCCTTTGTTCCTCCAACTGATGTCAGTCTACGATGAATAACAACTTGAAATAAACCAGATTGTAGACTGGGAGTTATTAACTTGAAATGTGTGCAAGTCAAATGATTAAGATAGGTGCCTTTAACACTTTCTCTAGTAAATGACTTTTAATCATAGTCTTAAATAGACAACTCAGCTGAAACCTTAAGTCGGCAGCTTAATTTGGTTCAAACTAAAATCGAAGTCTTACCTACTTTCAGGCTTCTACGGTTAGTGTAAGATTCACAAACTTTTCATTCCACTACGACAAATTAGGGACTTTATCAACAAACAACCTCCCTAATTATCTGCCTTCAATACTTAAACCCCTACAAAAGCACTCAGAATACATAATGAAGGGCTCACTTGATTTGAAATCCAAAAGTTTTTCACTTAAATTTAAGATGAAACTATAGTAGACCATGGCATTAATTCTTGATATACTAGTATTCCAACTAATGATAGGCTAGATATTATTTCCAATTTATTAGAAACAGACAAATTGTTGGCAGAAAGATGCCCAATGAATACCAGTGACATCATTAACGCCTATAAAATTCTGCTTATATATTACTCACTTCACATTTAAAGGTAAAATATGTAAGGAAACTGACAGTGTTACTATGGCTTCCATTGTTTCACCATATTTACGAGTAAATACGAAAAAAGTATTTTCACTCACTTATTGAAACCAAAAATGTGGCTCATATATTTTGATGATATATTTGTAATTTTAAAACGTGACTTATATCAGACATTCTTAGATCAAATAATCTCTACATTGACTAGATTCATACTTAGCTAAGAAAAAGGAAATGGATAATGTTGAAAAGCTCTTCCTTGGTTGACTTGTTAAGTGGAAAGAAAATTGAAATTTAGGTATAACCATTTTCAGGACCAGATGGAATCCCGCCAGAAACACTGAGAACAGTGGACATGCTCATACCACTATTGCAGAAGGTCTGGAAGGAAGGAAAGGTACCTGCCTATTGATTGGAAGAAGGGCTATCTTGTCAAACTCTCAAACTAGGGAGACCTTAGTGTTGATAAGAACTGGTACGGAATCATGTTGCTGTCCACCTCAAGCAAAATATTAAGCCGCATCATCCTAAAGAGACTTAAAGATGCTCTGCATTCAAAACTACAACCGGAACAGGCTGGCTGGCTGTCTGGCTTCAGGAAGTACGAATGATGTGCGGACCAAATTGAAATGCTATGCCATACATCATCATAGAATAGAGCATAGAATGGGAGTCAAATCTCTACCTGAACTTCTACTTTGAAAAAGCTATCGACAGCGTCGATCGAGAAGTAATTTGGCAGCTACTGCTTCATCACTACGGTTTTAGTGCGACAAACCTTAGTCAACCTCATTCAAGAACTATATGAAGACGCCATATGCCAAATGATTGACAATGGGGAGCTCAGTGATGCGTTTGAAGTGAAGATGGGGTACAGGAGTAAGACAAGGTTGACGCTTACTATCATCACCGATGATTTTCCCTTACTGTGGTCGACTGGACTTGATGATGCAGCAGACAACTGTGAGAAGGGAGAAGAGGCGGATACGCTGGTTGGACTGGTGAAAAGACCTTAGACGATTTGGATTTTGTCGGTGATGACTTGTATCTAATGTTTTACAAACTCGAAGATCTACAGACAAGAAATAACAAGTTGAGAGAAGAGGTAGCGTAGCGTAGGGTAGGGTAGGGTAGGGTAGGGTAGGGTAGGGCAGGGAAGGGAAGGGAAGGGCATGGAAGGGAAGGGAAGGGAAGGGTAGCGAAGATGGAACTTCAAGTGAATGTAGAGAAGACAGAAGTGATGATGACACCCGACCAAGGCCACCACCACCACCAACAACGAGCTCCAATCACCATCAACGGGGGGAACTTAAAGGAAGTAGCCTCTTCCACCTACCCACCTGGGCAGCATCGTTTCAACTCCAGGTGGCACAGACGAGGACGTCACAGCCAGCCAGGATCCGAAAATCAAGACAGGCGTTCATTAACTCGAAACCAGTGTGGAGATCTGCAATGCACTCAGCATACAGCGTGAACAACATCCGGATTTTCAACACTAAATCAGTCATGTAAGTCAGTGCTTCTATGTGATGGTTGAGAGACTTGTGTTACGAAAGGCATTTCCAACAAACTACAGATATACATCACATCAACAACTGGTCTCGCTGGTTCGTTACTGAAGCCCAGATAGTCAGAATAATATGAATAAGTAACAAGGAAGTCTGGCTGGCTGGTTGGCAACGAACCAACCAACAACCTGTCACCCAACGAATATGCAGAAGGAAGTGGAGATGAATTGGGCGTGCACTGAGAAAGCGATTTGGAGACATCAGGTGTCAGGCCAGGCCGTTGAGTAGAATCCAGATGGTAAACGGTGAGTTGGGCGTTGGTGTCGAGAGTGACATGAAGGAGATTGTGTGAGGAAGAAATGAGAGCTTCTGGGCATTGGTGGCGCCAGGTTGAAAAGATTGTAGAGAAAGTGTAGAGTGGAATGGAGGCATGCTACTGAAGCCGTATGTTCCACTAGGAACCAAAGGGACAAATAATAATAATAATAATAATAATAATAATAATAATAATAATAGTAATAACCTTTTTAAAACTATAAGCAAACTAACATAATTTTCTTCCATGAAGTTAATAATCATTTATTCAACAACCTTACCTAATGGAAGAGGCAATTGCTGCACGACCATCACGTGTCATATGAATAAATTTTGCTTTTGGAAATATTTCATGTAAATATTTTAAATAATAAAATGAAAATGGTTGTTTATGGCATAAATGTTCAGCTGATTGACCCATATTAATGATAATTTCACTGATGAATGCAGCTATAGCTCGATTGAATACAGTTGAATAGATACCAGCAGCTTCAAGTTGATACATATTACTTTCGGATAACTTTTTCAAACGGAGTAAAGGTGTTGTAATCACTGGTTCAGGACCACATCGTACTAATGGATGAACATCAAGTAGAATTCTCATTAAACCGGTTCCTTGAAGTAAAAAGTATTCAATAGGAATATTAATAAGTACTTGAATGTCTTCAAAGTAATTTTTCATATCAGCCTAGTCATCACTGATCAATGTGGCACTATTAAAAATCATACAGTAAGCACTTATAGACATAAGATAACAGGATTTCGAAGTATGGATAAAATAGTTTTTAGGGATTGACCAGATTTGAAGAAAGTTTTCAGTTTGGCTTGACATCAGCTAGAAAACCGTGACGAATTGACAGAATTACAAAATAATGGATTACTGAACTTCAAACCAGTAGCTGGATAGTGATCTGAGATTCCCTAGCTGGATGCCTCTTTAAAAGGGGGGGGTGGGTGGGAATGATTACCTTCTAATTTGATTTTCTGCATTATGAAGCAACATCTGTCCAGGGCTCTCAGGTTTTTAGTGCTTCTGTAAGTGATATCGGTGGGTGATTTAAACTAATCTGAAAAGAGCAGTTACTCAGGAAGGTGTCTTCCTAATGAGTGAGTAATTCAGGCAGAGAAATGCATTCACTCTTGCTGTTTTTCTACACCTGTTTGGCGTAGATTACTCAAAGGTAGCAATACATTTCTCAAATCTGTCCTACGATAACTGATCGCCTTGATGTCACATGAAAACAGGTGATCATTAATCTGATTTGAGTTGTTTGATAAAACCGATAACTAACAAATTACAAATAGCTTGGTAGAATTTCGAAGCTAAATTTTGCCCAGCATACATACGAATATATGTACACATATGGATGGAGTATATTTCGAAATAAGCTTAAAATGTGTCATAACTTTACACTCAGCTAAAAAGAGGGATAGACACGAATCCTACGCAGGAACGCACAGGGAGATCATTTCGAGTGTATGAAACACGCAAAACTACAGTCTTATAGATCAGAACTTCATACTCTCTAAAGTCATGGATTATTGGTTTAGGCAATCAACTTTCACCTACTGGGTTATAGTTTGGAATGGCACTACACCTAAAGAGGTTTCATCGATTCATCTCGGTCGGTATTCGGGCTCTTATGCAGATATCTGGATATTTTCTAACTATTCATTGTTATTCGATGACTTGATGGTGCTAGCAGACTCACAGTTTGTCCTGTTTATGACTTATCAGGTAGATCCAATTGCATCTCAGTTAGTGATTGTATTTCTATTGAGACTGGAAGCCTGCATCTATCCCTGTGAACATCAAAAGGTTACCCATTAGATAGCTGAAGTATTCACTTGATGAAGTGTAGATACATCCAGCTAACAAGCGCCATATTCGAAGAAAAACAAGTTCTAGATTCCACTGTCAGCCACAACCAAGTCTTCTATAACAATAAATGAAATTTTATTTTATCTTTATTTAATAAAATGAGATATTTAACCCATACAAAGATTATTTTTGTAAAACTATTTAAAACATATAGCAAAACTTCATATTTGAATACAAAATACCTTCTCTTCACTATAACCCCTATTATCTTAACTGGTGTAATCAACTTGTCAATCGATGTGTTTAAATGAATCAAATGTTTATTATTTAACATATTACATATATTTAAATATTTTTAGATAAATTGAAATGCATCTTAGCTATTGACAATATAAAATATGAGTAGAGTAGATATGACCGATGGTTCAATTTAAATTGTACATCTTTACATTCTACCCAGTTAATATTGAATGTTGTTAATATGACATTGCCTGTCAGATAATATAGTTGAGTGATTTGTTTAAATGAGCTAATTTCTGCGAAATATCCTTTAAGTAGTATTTAACTTTTGAGAGCAATTTGAAAAGTATCTTATATGTATGCTTCAATAAACTTTGTTATATCAGGGACTATTTAGTTTGAATATACGCTTATCAAAAAAAGTGAGTTTTTTGTTCTCAACCGATATGTTCTACCCTGATATGGAGGTTACGCTTGGACTTCGCAATAATTTGAAAAGTCAAACTAATTGGAATACTTATTCCTTGAAGTAGTATCGTACTAAAAAGGCCAGTTGGATTCTGATGGAATAAAAGGTAGTTATCATCATAGTGTAAACAGCTACTTTCTTATGGGGATGTGAGGGTAAAGTTGTACTGTTGACTGAACTGGGTTTGACAAGGTTGAGGTGTTTCTCACGGATAATCAACAGCGGCACGCTGATGCTGGCTTTCCTATGGGAAGGTAGTGGGGAGGGGGTTAGAAAAAAGGCCCCAAAAACAGAACTTTCCTCCCTATCCCACGTTATACCGGTACCAGCGGTGTCACCTTTCATTTCCTGGCCTTATGACAATAGAATCGGAGTCTAATAATCTTTAAAATGTCGTATGTGACAGACAGCAGAAAGGTGCCACACAAGTGATCATGCACCTTTTAGAAACAAATTTCACGTTGTTGGCGGATACAAAGTACCAACCAGCCACACGCTTCCTCTAGTATACAAAACGTAATGGAAAATAACCATGCCTTCACTTTCTGACACCATTATTTAGCCCCTTTCAACTTTTCTCCAACTCCTCACTCTACGATTATTGCTAGAGAGTCAAGCTAGCGAAACATCATTCTTAGTCTCTTAAAACCTTATTGCTAATTTCTCATTGGAGCTTTTTGCATCCGAACCCTATGCCTAGTCGGGCAGCACGCGTCTACTATCAAAACTTATGAATCTCGAACCATAGATGTACATCTTGTTTCTGAGACATGCATATAGGGCTCAGGTGTGGCTTTTTATATTCGACCTCATCAGACCAGTTTAGTGAATTTTGAAAATTCACTTTATTAGTTTCCAGAAATTCAGTGGTTATCTCTAAAGGACTAGCATGAATTTGTGCTTTAGAAAGCATACTTTCCAACTAGGTAATAGTCAATAGCTGCCTACTTGCTGTTTGACTGAATGCATCTGTAAGAACTAGGAAAAACAGTGAGAATAGTCGACGCCTATTCATAATCTCCACCAATATACCCACTGACTGCAGTTCCGGTAATGCAAAGAATGCATTCCAGCAGAAACGGTCACTTTAGCTACATAAAGCAAGACGTTCAGACATAGTTAAGATAGCACATGAATTCAACGCTAAACTGCTGAAGCTGAGTCAGTTAAAGTGCCATCTTAGGGGTTTATGCGGCATATCATGCTGACAGCGGTGATCTTTTCTAGCAATTTTGTCCTCATACTCATGATAGACACAGATAGATCATATTTTTATATACCATCGCTGGAAAGGATCGGTGGAGGATTGTCGCTCATTATGAAGAAGCTGTTTGAACTCTGATCACACGTTAGTACAGAGACGTGTAAATCTGCGCCTTACTGGTCGCAGAAACAGGTGGCAGTCGAGTCTGTCTATGCTCGATTCGAAAATGAGAACATAAAGTACGTATTTAAGGAAGAGATAGCTAAGCATTTATCTGAACTTGACAGTAGTGCTCATACTGAGGAAGCCTGGAGGGATATTAAGTCTGCTGTAGAAACGGTGGTGTGGACAGCTGTTAACCTGGATCTCCAACTTAGCAGAAGCCAGTGGATTTATGCAATATCACCTGAACTGGTTGAAGTGAGAATACTCGTTACAGCTGGTTCTGATGCCAATGAGGAGTGAGACAAACTTAGAAACAAGTTGGCTTATAGTCTTCACACTCACTACGAACAGTAGTAGATGATTAGAGCGAAAGACATTTAGAAGGTATCAGCATTGGTTAACACCTATCAACTACTTGAGCTTATTAAGGATACTGGTAAGAAGAAGACGATGGTGAGTGAAACAGTCACAGAAAAGAATGGGTTCCTGATAACCTTTCAGAACAGACAACTAGAACGCTGGATGGAACACTTTTGAAACTCAGTTAGACTGGCTACGCTTCGGTTGCTGAGCATCCATCCCGAATTCAAATGGGAATTGTATATCAGTCCTTCATCTCTTGTCTAACGCGAGAAAACTGTTTCAAACCTGAAGGGCTTCAAAGCACAAAGACCTGATGGTCTGCAGCCAGGAGATTTTATGAATGGAGGTAGAAAGTTACTGAGTAGAGCAACGTATCTACAAGTTTGCATATGGAAATTAGAGGTAGTTCCTTCATACTCATTGACTTCACGGATCGCTCCAGTTTATAAGAAAGGAACGAGATCTTCATATGGCAACCATAGGGGAATTAATTTTACTAACATGTGTTCAAGATCTTAGGATGAGTAGCTACACAATGTCCAACAGGAACTAGAGGAAACCAGGTAGGTTTCACACCTGGATGAAAATTCGTCGATTAGATCTTCACTCTTCGACAGTACCAGGTGTATTTCTTAACCTAGAGGCAGCATTCGACTCTGTCGAAAGTGAGATGTTACGAGTGTGTTTGAGTGTGAAGAGAGTACCAAGCATGTGTATGATGCTAATCAAGGTTCTCTATTTGAACTCACGCAACTTTATAGAGCCTAAAGGATGGGGCTGCCGTTTGAAGTGACGTGATTAATGATGTCCACCAGGAGTTCCATTGTGATCGTTTTGGTCTACGTTTTATACAAATAAGTCAAAAAATATAACTCCGGGTAGCGCTGACCTTACACAAATTGATCTGCTAACTGGAAAGTATGTGGTTGATTCGAAATAGGCAAACGACGTTGTCCTGCTAGGTAAAAGCACTGAAAAATCCAGTCTTCAAAACATTTTGAGCAAAAATCCGTGTATGCTTGGCATATGTTTCGCATCTGTCAAATGTAAGATGATTCTTCGAAACTGGTATGAAACATCTCCCAGTTTAAGAATGTGGATTGGAGTAGAGTGGTTAAATGTTTTGACAACCTCACTTATTTGAGAAGTGGCCTCAGTCGGAATGGGTTGGTTGCTGACAAAATTTCATCTCAGATACAATAGACTAGTTTGGTACTGTTCAACCTACATCATTTCTGTAGGTCTCGAGATATCTGACTGTCTATAGAAGGATGAGTATACTGCTTTGCAGTCAACTGTGTCTTAACATAGGCATGTGAATCATACCCAATGAGAACTAAAGATATAAAAAGATTAGAATGGAGTCACCGTTTGATCAGTATTGAGGTTGGGTGAAGGTTACTAGGCAGGAAAGACAAGTTGTGAACCTCCATCGACTTAAGTGGTTTGAATATGTGTTATGTATGCCAAACCATCACCTATATCTATATGTACTGTTACCTGGAGTGTCAGTCAGTTGGAAGAGTACTCAGGGTGGCCAAACGAAGACTTAGGATCAGTCTAGTAAGTCTATGACAGTTGGTTTGCCCCGAGCAGGAAGGTGTAGACTGTTTTGTCATCGAGGATATAAAAATTAGTAGTTGGAGACAATTCTTAATGACATAGGAAAAACTCAGTCACAATGATACAAAGGTATTCACTGACTAGTGCCTTCTAAAGTTTTGATATTTTTCACACCAACCATCATCTTTAAAATTCTTTCTCTCTTCCCCTCCCACTTTGTCTACTTTAATATTCCTCCTTCTCTAGTCACTTGTTTTTTTTGCATGCTGGTGCAGAAAATTGCAACTCTTATCAACATATTTCTGTGCAAAGTTCTTTGTTAGTTTTACCTGTTTGGGTTTTAGCTTTTAGTGACTTGCGGAACTACTGGTTGAGTAGGTTTCGAACACCGACTTCAACAGTTCTCTTTCACTGCAAAATAGCAACATTCATCAGGATAGACTAAAGAGTACGAATATAACCATTACAGTTATACACGAATAGAATTTCATCTGGATTATTATTATTTGTCCTTTGGGTTCCTAGTGGAACATAGGGATTCAGTAGCACATTTCCATTTTAATCCCTTCTCTAAAGTCTTCTCATCCTGGCTCCACGACTGCCACAAGCTTTCAATTCTTCCTCACACAATCTCCTCCATGTCACACTCGGACACCAAACTCATCGTGTCCCACTTGATTTCCACTCGAAGGTCTAGCCTGGTGCGTGATGTTCCTGAATGATCTTCTCAGTGTATGTCCAATCTACTCGATCTCCATTTTCTTCTTCTGTGTATTTGTTGGGCGATAGGTTGTTGGTTGGTTCGTTCCAAGCCAGCCAGCCAGACTTCCTTCTTATTATTCTGGTCATCAATCTGATCTTCAGTGTGAGTATCTAGTTAGCATAGGTGGCGGTTGCTGATGTGATGTATGTCTGCTGTTTGTTGGAAATGCTTTTCGTAACACGCCAAATCTCTCAACCATCGCGAAGAAGCACTGACTTACTCGACTGAGTTGGTGTTGAAAATCCGGATGTTGTTCACACTTTATGCTGAGTGCAGTAGATCTCCACAGTGATTTCAGGTTGATGAAGACGTGTGTTGCTGTGTTTCCGAACGTGGCTTTGACGTCGTCATCTGTGCAGCCGCCACCACATGTAGCTGAGATGATGATGATGCCTAGGTGGGTAGGTGGGTGAAACAGACAACTTCGTTTAGGTTCCTCCTGTTGATGGTGACTGGTAATTGTTATTGTTGTTGGTTGGGTATCTTCATCACCTCTGTCTTCTCTACGTTCACATAAAGGAAGTCCCTCCCGTCTCCCTTCACTGCTTCACCTTTTCTACCAACTTGTTAATTTTTGCCTATAGATCTTCGAGTTTGTGCGACAAGACATCAGACATAAATCCCCATCGTTTAAATGCGAATCTTCTAGGGTCTTTTCATCGGTCCAGCCAGTTTATGCTCATCTTCTCGCTCCTCTCAGTTATCTGTTGCATGATCCAGTCGACCACAATCAGGGAGATGATCGGTGGTAGTAGGCAGCTTTGTCTTACTCCTGTTTTCATTTACAAGGCGTCACTGAGCTTTCCATTGTATATCACTCAATAGTAGACTGTAGTTCCATTCTAGCTCTTTTATTATATGTACTACACAGAGAACCATTATTATCCAATGGATGACGTTTGGAGCACAATTTATTACTCACAGTCCCATCAAAATAGGCATATAACTTTCCGGTCGAATTTTACAGTTTTACTTTTTTCTAATCCTCTGATTTTATTGGAAATAAAATTTTACCACACCTCTCTAAAATCCGTGTTGATTTATTCCTTTTGGATATATCATGTGTTGATTATTCAATAAGTTACGATGGAATGACAGATTCAAGGAAAATTTTTAGATAGATGGAGAAATTAATAACTAAAGTCTCATCCTGTTGTGATTTTCTTACTGTTGGTTAGCAATGGAATTCAAGATACGCGTTTCATCCCACTTGGAACTCATCAACTGGATGTACCTGCACCCCAGTAAGTGATGTTATTCTCACCGGAACTCAATCCACTTCCCAACATACGTTAATCAATTCAATCCTGTATAACATTGGAAGATGATAACTATCAATAAAAAAACATTATTTCCTATTGATTATTGATAAAAAAAAGAACCGGATGTTTGATTGTCAAGGTGAATATTACCAAGAATAGTTGTGTTTTCAAATATGAAATATAATTCACCTACCAGTACTTTCATGTCCACCTATAAAGATGAAATTATTGTCTCTTGGATCATTAGTTGATGAAAAATGTGGATTTTTATCATAACCGATATATACTCCAACGATGATACCAAACACAAACCATATTATAACACTTAGTATTCTTGAATGTCGACAATAGAATGATTTTGGAATGAAAATTGCTATTCAGTTAATAAAGGAACAATGAAAAGTTATATATTTATTAAAGATGAGATTATCTAGTAGAAAAATATTTTTTATTGATTATACAAAAATTTTTTTGAGGGAGTTGTGGAGATTTGGAATTATTTCAAGTTGTTATTCATCGAAGACTGACATCAGTTGGAGGAATAATGGAAACCTGGGAACACTGGACAGCCGTTTCGTCCTAGTATGGGACTCCTCGGCAGTGCGCACCCACGACCCCACCAGCAGGAATCGATCCCGGGACCTGCAGGTTCCGCTGCCAGCACGTTACCATTGAGCCACCGGGTCAGGATCCAGTGCTCCATATTTCCAACCTCTGAATAACAACTTGAAATATTTCCAAATCTCCACAACTCCCTCAAAAAATTTAATTGAACTGGTGCTCATTGGTGACTAGTTTCCAGAAGGATTCCCGAAGTTCCAATGACAAGTCGTGACCGGTGGAGTCAAAGCCTGATGGCCATGAGGACAAATACTCAGCGATGACATTGGGTGGCGGTTCGCGCTATATCGTGAGCTAAGAGAAGTTGGAAATATGGAGCATTGGATTGTGACCCAGTGGCTAGCTCAATGGTAATGCGGTGGCCGCGGAACCTGCAGGTCGTGGGATCGATCCGTGGTGGTGGGGTCGTGGATGCACACTGCTGAGGAGTCCCATACTAGGACGAAACAGCTGTCCAGTGTTCCCAGGTTTCCTTTGTTCGTCCAACTGATGTCAGTCTACGATGAATAACAACTTGAAAAAATAATTTTGTCTCATCAAAGAAAAGGGTCCAACGTAATCAATAATCTGATTACTGAGAACAGATTCTGAGTGAAGTTCACTAACTAAACGAATGTAACAAATCGAAGATAAAATCAATGATGGAGAGATGGACATTATGGTACATTGGCTTATTAGATTGTACTTTAGCATTTGAAGTGACGGGTACGAGGTTTAAGTCCCGATGAAAATAGCATGACTCACTAGGGTGGAGGTATATCCAGTTGATGAGTTCCTAGTACAATGAAACGTGTGCCTTGAATTATACTGCTAGTGATGAAAATGAAAATGATGGAGACACTTTTCAAGATATTATTTTCATTGAGATAAGGAACCTGGAGGTGATATTATCTGTGAAACTGTGATACATTATTGAGGAAGAGTTCTTCAGAAAATATCTTGTTGCTTTAAACGTTTATCCTCTCTTCTACAGTCTTTCTATCTGAGAATAGAACTTGATTACTGTAGTAGAGTATAATTTCATATAAGATTGTTTATTTGACAATGTATACATGACCTCACAATCACTACATGATATTTAATAGACTACGTTAGTTATTTGATCTTTTAGCTTACAAAGTTTCGCTCTGAGCGAGTTTGACGTTACGAAAGGCAGTTCCAACAAACTACAGATATTCATCAACAACTGCCTATGCTGGCTCGTTACTGAAGATCAAATGATTAGAATAATAAGAATAAGCAACAAAGAAGTCTGGCTGGCTGGCTGGCAGGCAACGAAGCGAGAACCTATCGCTTAACAAGTATGCAAAAGGAAGTGTAGATGGATTGGGCATACACTGAGAAGGTTATTCGGGGACATCACACGTCAGGCCAGGCCATTGAGTGGAATCCAGATGGGAAAAAACGAGTTGGGCGTGCGAGACGAGTGTGACATGGAGGGGATGGTTTGAGGAAGAAATGAGAGCTTTAGGGCATTGATGGAACCAGGTTGAAAAGATTGCAGAGAGAGTATAGAGTGGAATGTAGACGTGCTACTGAATCCCTATATTCCACTAGGAACGCAAGGGACAAATAATAATTATAATGATGATAATAATAATACCAAAGGAAAATACGATTTCTATAATTAGTACATTTCGCAAACAAAGACTAGAAACCAGACAGAAGTTTTAGACTTACACTATTTGACTGTATATACAATCTAATCTGTTTCATACTTTGCCTGTTGAATAAATGTACAAGCAAAAATTATACGACATTCATCTTGATGAGTGAAATTTTGCCTTTTCAGTGGAAATTTGTATAGCTTATCTCAATGCCTTAGCTAATAAACCAATTCATTTTGTCAATCTGATGAAAAATCATTTTTCTTATAAGTCAATCCACTTCACTTTTATTTCATGTTATGTACACTAATACTTTGCTTTTCAACTTCACGTTTTACTTTCTAACAGCTGAGTAATTTTTCAGCTGCCTAACTATGGTATCAACAGACTTTCCGTTGGAAAATCATTTACAAGTTGATTCTCCTATTTTAGGTATACTTGTACATACACGTCAGTTAGTCAGATTCAGGTGATTTGAAGTATTTTTGCTCTATGACCTGAATTTGTTCGGATACACCATAGATGAGCTCGGTTGTAAGTAATTTAAATGGCCATCCGGTGTTAAGATCACTCTGATTTGGCTAGTTGATGAAATCTACAGATCAGTCCGAGTGGTTCCTTACTACTTAAGTTGCTCAGTAGTATATTCGTAATGAGTAAATTAGGTTACCTACCCATGGTTAACTGAAAATATGTATAATAATAATGGCTTTATTCTGAAAGCTATTTCGAGAATACTCAACAAAAGTTGATTAGTTAGTTTACTTCTGACATTCTTCATCATACAGGAAGGAGATGAGCCAAATACGGTGTTGAAGAAGTTTTATATTTCGTATTAAGTGCATAAAGTGTTATGTACTTGCTCCTCGTCTCTCCAAATGACCGAAACACAGAGAGCTTTTAGTGAAGAGGATGCTGACAACCTTTAAAGTTCTACCCAACATAGCATACTCTTTTTTCAGCAACCCAAGAAAGAATGTAGGGAAACAGTAGATGAGAAAAGGCGAGATCCAGGAGTTTATAAAACGCAAGAGGAGAGGTTGGATTATTCCAGATACTGCCAGCTTCCCAATATAGAAAGTTAGGTAGAAAGTTCCTTTGCAAATAAGTAGGATATGAGAAGACCAGAAAAGGTGGGAAGAAAACACACACCGAGATAAATCAGACTTGTAACACTCGCTAATGCACAACCATCAATAAAACAAGAATTATGAGAACTAACCAGTTTACATAGGTTATGTTCTCCTCTGAAACTAAAGTTTATGGTCTGACATTTTGAAGAATTAAGCACAAGACTATTCCTAGAGGACCGTTGTCTAACAGTGGATAGGAAATTATTCAGTTGGTAACAATCTGTTGAAGAGAGGATAGGTATGGGAACTGTTAGGTCATCAGCATATTTGATAAAATTGATACTGGCTGAAGATGGGAAATCATACACAAAGAATGAGAAAAGATAGGGCGAGAGGATGGCTCCTTGGGGAACATCAGGCTCAGTAGGCGATGAGGTGGAGCGCTTCCCTCTATGAACAGTATTTTGTTTCCTTTCACAGAACTAGGAATGCAGCTAGCTGATTATCCGGGACTCAGTATTTTTTCCGGTTAGATTGTCCAGCGAAAGAGGTCTTAGGATGGAATCAAATGCCGAAGTACAGTCTCAAGCGCACACCTGGCATACTTACCAGTTCTATCAAGATTATAAGGAATATTGTGATATAAGAGAGTGGTGGTATCCAGAGTGCTTCTTCTACTTTTATATGCAAATTGATTAGAGTCATCGAAAGCCTTCAGTGGGGGTTTAATGACAGTTATCATTACCTTCTCCATTATTTTCAGGAATGGAGAAGTAACTGCAGTTGGACGGAGTTTCAGATATACGCCTGAAGTCCCTGACTTAGGCATGGGGACTATCTTAAAAATAATACCAACAATACGAATACCCATAATAAACCTTGTATATTAGTGTGCAACATTTGATGGAAGGTTAAATATAAAGCGAATAATCCTTCATAATCCATTTCTCCTTCCTTCTGAAATTTACTTTATAAAGACTGGTTAGTCACTACTGAATAGTACTAGGGTATAACCGACGATGTTATAAAGTGATCTAGACAAGAAACGTATATACCAACACATTGATTGTTGATTCCCACGGAAATATAAGGTAAAAATGGATAATGTCCGTTGCATACAAGGTAAAAGCTTTAGAAGACTAGTGAATAAATATCATTTGATATAAGGGAGTAAATAATTCTGAATTCAATTTGTGAATTCGATATCACAAATTTAGCTAGTTGTCAACAGATTTAAACAGGTACAATTGTTAAGAGTACAAGTTATTGTTAATGCTGACTAGGAATAAAAACTGTGCACTCGACGTTTCATTCTATTTGTTAATGAGTTCATCAACTTGAAGGTACTTAATATATCTTGAGTAGGACTATTATACAGTAGGTTATTGGACAAGTCACACTTATAATGTACGACTAAAAGGGTATAACGATTCGTAGTCTTCACTAACTTTTTTATTTATCAACGAACTGGTCATTGCTAGCCTATGGGCTTATTGAGAAGATATTTCAGTGAGATATTTAGCTATATTTCCATTACTACATACCTATAACTTCAGTTGTATCAGTCAGAAACGAAAAATTCTCAGCAGTCAGATCTATCTTTACTCTTCATAAGAGGAGTGACTATCAGATGGTGAAGAGATCAACTCTAACATTTAGTCACCGATATAAAGAGGACCATATGACCATGCAGATACACCTAGATCATCAATTTGAAATAAAACAAAATTAGAATTCCAGTTTCCATTACCAATCAATATATAGTACTGAATGAAGTTGTTATTTATTGGCCAGTTGTTTTAACCACATTGCCGTAGGTAGACAGATGGTAAAAAAAAACCTACAACTCAAGCTAAGCACCTGATGGATAGAAATATGATATACTTTTTTCACCAAAAATTTCATTCCCATATAACATCACAGTTTTTTCTCTACGTTATTAATGACTCGATAAATGGAGAGTTGGAAACAGTTTAAAAATGTGCAAGAGTACATGATAAATTCAAAGGATATATTTAACTGATTAAAACAAATTGAAGGGAAAGAATTTGATGAAAAATGTTCAATGGATAAATTTGGCAGCTCAAGGTTAAAGCAGGTCGCCAACCCCGTCACCATTATTATTATTAGTAGTGGAATTATTATTACTAACACCTGTATTACTACTACTCCTACCACTGCTAATATTTCTCCCTCGATTTCTTATGAATTTATTGGTAAATTTAGGTGGGTAATTACTGAGATGCAAGGTATTCTTGATGTGTCTAATTTCTTGTCGTAGATTTTCGGGCCTACTAGTAAGCTTTTTCGCCGTATCACTTAAGCACTTAACTAAGCCAATTTTAACTGACATGGGATGGGAGGATTTGAAGTCTAAGTAGTGATTCGAATGAGTAGGTCTCTAAACTTCTATCTTGTATTCGTTTAATTTCGCCATCCAACATTGTTAGCTAACTTTCATCACTTTCTAAATCAAAGTTGAACTGGATAGCATTCACTACTGAATTCATATGTACCATGGACCTGATCATGTGTTGCGATTTTTGCACTAAGTGTTAGAGCGAAAACCTTACTCGAATGACAGAAAATCTACGATAAGCAGCAACATATCAAGAATACCTTGCATCTCAATAATTACCCACCTAAATCTATCAGTGAATAGATAAGAGATCGAACGACAAATATTAGCGGTGGTAGTAGTATTACGGGTGTTATTAATAATTCTACTACTAATGATGGTGATAATGGTGATAGGGTTGTGAGAGAATTCAACGTCTCCACTGTGTTACCATGTAAGGAAAGCACCTCAGAAGCACTGCCAAGAATTCTCAGTAAGGCTGGATGGGATTCAAGTGGCATTTAAACCAACAAACTTGCTTAGAAACAAGCTTTATAGGTTAGAATATCCTATTGATGCAATTAAGCAAAATAATCTGGTTTATCAAATCCCTTGGATTGATTTCCAGGTCGAATATATGGATGAAAGTAGTCGACTAGGGTCGACTTAGCTAAATCAAGATTAGTAGACTTTAATAAGATAAGAAATTTAGGGAAAAGATCAGTTGTTGCTTTACTCGCAATTGTAGGGTGGGATAGGGCAACAGCGTTAAAAACTTAGTTGTGTGGAGTGAAGGAGAGATTGATAACCGAATCTTTCTAGGGGGTTGTGTGGATTTAGAAATATTTTCAAGTTAGTATTCATCGTAGACTGACGTCAGTTGAAGGAGCAATGGAAACCTGGTGGGTGTGAGAACGGTTGCTCAACAACGACATTGGGTGGTGGTTGAGCTATGTCGTGAACTGAAGGAAGTTGGAAATATGAATTAGTGGATTCCGACCCAGGGACTCAATGGTAACGTGCTGACGACGGAACCTGAAGGTCTCGGGTTCGACCCCGTTGGGGTCTCGTGGGTGCGCACTGCTGAGAAGTTCCATATTGAGACGAAACAGCTGTCCAGTGCTCCCAGGTTTCCATTATTCCTCCAACTGATGTCAGTCTACGATGAATAACAACTTGAAAAGTGAATCTTTATTTATCGAATCAACACCAAATACATGCAGTAATAGAAATGATTCTTCATCTGTCCCAGATATATGGAAAATTCTACTACCCTTGTCATCACAAAGAAGGAGAGAAAATTAGGACTATATAAACTCTGTCACGAAGTTGTGGACTTACCTGATATAAACTTACTCACTGAAATGCAGGTCTATCAACCAGACAATTACTAGTCGTTGTAAGGCATCCAAAGTTCATCTAATCATTTATTGCCATTAGTTATCAAGTTAACTATTTAGAATTGATCATAATGAAATGTAATCAATAAGTGTTTGTTTTTCATTCATTTAAAACTTTGTTGATAGAATCTCATCATCATCATCATCATCATAATCATGATCAATATAGGATCAAGTATTACTGACTAACGGTCCAAGTTGCCACACATCATATCACCACATCAAGTAACAAGGCAATAAAATGGAAGATGAAGAAAGAAAGAAAAATCTATCAAAATAAGTAGGAAGTAATAAAGGAGAGAAGGAAGGAGTGAGAAGATAATGAGAATACATATAACGATTATGGTGAGGATAGTGTGTGACATCGGTTCTGAGTCATATTACCTACAGTCCTCAACTACTGATTTCTCTTGTTCTGTAGACCCCAATCAGTTGATCTGCACCCCACCCCATCCCCCGCCCCACATGCCTCAGATGAACAGTCAATGACTTCATGCATTCAGGCCATATTTTAGTCTTGCCAACTCGAGCCTGAACCTTCTTCGGCCAACATTGTGTAACGAGTCAGACCATGGTTAGGCATACGTTACACATGTCTAACCCATCCGAGTCAATGAACGTTCACAACAGCATCAAGCGTCTCACCTCTCTCCTCCCTAAAACTATACGTCTGACTCCTGAGTTACTCATGTGTAACACCACGAAACACGGCCTGTGCTACGAAGGTAGCGGTGGTCAAGCACCTGAAGCCTTCTCATGTCTTCTACCTTTAATGGTCACGTTTCACAGCTATACCAGTAGAACAGAGCAGACTGCAGCACAATACACTCGGTCCTTAATAGACAATCGGATATCGTGGCAGCAACACAGAAGGCACAAATTGGTAAAGGCCAGCTGAGCCTTTTTTATCCGTTTAGAGGTTTCTTCGGCCACTGACCAATGCACCAGGACTGATCCGACTTCCCAGGTAAGTGAATCGTCCAACAACTTTGTTCTCTGTTGTTAGTCGGGGTGCGTTAAGATCGGTACTGGAGCAATGATTTGTACCAGGGTGGGGAGAAATGCATCCAAAACATTCTGAAACTGCTAACCAGGGTGTTCAGAGGACTCTGTATCTTGTCAGTGTCTTCACCTAACAGGACTATGTCATCTACGTAATCTAGGTCTACCGAAAATTCTCCTGTGATTAGGTCAATCGCTGTGCGATCAAATGATGATAGGGAGACGTCCATAAGAATATCTGTGATAAAATTAAATAAGAATGAAGAAGGTGGGTCCCTTTGACGGGCACCACTTGACACATACAACTCACCTGATGTCTCACTATAGGCTCTAACATGCCTAAAGGTTTCCGAGTAGAGAGGCTTTAGTGGGATGATGTACTTACTTAATACTCCTTTCACTGAGAGGGACTGCCATAAGACTTCTCAATCGACGGAGTCGAATTACGCCTTCAGGTCAGGAAACACAGCCATTGTCTAGCGTTGGCAAGGGTGCCTGTGTTCCAGAAACTGGAGCAGTGTGAACATTTGATCAATATACCCACGACGAGGTCTGAAGCCTGACTGGTTTTATGGGGCTTGCTGTTCCCGAGTTCCAGTTTGGAGGAGGAGAATGCTAGCAGATATATTTTCAAACAACTTGTTATCTCTAGGTCTGACAGTTCCTTTAAATTAATTCTTGTGATCCGTCTTCAAACTCTCAAGAGACTTCGATTACCCAATCTAAACATAACCAAACCATTACCAGTTCAGAATGGTAAAACTGATATTTAACGTACACTCGTCAGCCTTTATATTTTATGTAATTTATGCCTTTCATCCCTATTGGTTACTTCATCTCCTTTCCATTTCCTGGTTGATTGAATAAATCCTACACTTATTACTTAATACTTCATTTCAGTTTTAGTTTCTATGCCCTAATCCCTCTTTCAGATTAATTCTGATAATGTATCGGGTGATGATTGAAAGTGAAATGAAAATCTGAACCACGGCCGGATTCGAACCAGCGGCCAGTGGATTGCCTGCCCTGTTCTCTAGTATTGTATTAAATTATCGTACCATTTTTCGATTGATTTGATTTAACAAAGGTTGAATATTAAAATGGTTGTACAGTTTTTTTAACATAAAATGGTTGTAAAATATTTCTTTACCGTTACATGTTTTTTCAATGACTTGAAAGAGAAGTTTTTTTAATCTGCTACAAAATTGTATTATTTTACACCATACAAAGATGTTTATAAACAACTTTAAATGATCAGTATCGTTGATTAAGTAAAAGATAATCCACTGAGTAGATAACTTTTTCATTCCCTGATAATCGATTGCATAAACATTGAACATAGAATGATTCTGAGGTAGAAATTATCTCAAGTTGACTGTTTACAATTTCCTACTAATCAATTTTAAATGTTTGTAATCATACATTTTGTTTTAATAGTACACTTTGTACATCCAATATGTTCACACTCTAGTAGTTATTCGTCACTTTACTTCGATTCTTTAATAGATTTTGTGACAACCTATTACATTTTCACCATAGGTTGTCTGAGTTATATATCACGGTATTTTGTAGCCTAAACTTATCATAATAATTTAGAAGTAGTATTCATCATGGACTGATATCAATTGGGAAGCCATTGAAAATCTGGTAGCATTGGACAGCTGTTTCGTCCTAGTGTGGGACACCTCAGCAGTAAGCACCCACGACCTGGCTATGTCGTGAATTGACAGGAGTTGGAAATTGTGAACCACTGGAAACCACCGACCCAGTGGCTGAATGGTTAGCGCGTTCGCCGTGAAACCTGAAGGTCCTGAGTTCGATACCTAGCCGGGTCGTGGGTGCGTACTGCTGAGGAGTCCCACACTAGGACGAAACAGCTGTCCAGTGCTCCCAGATTTTCAATGGTTCTCCAACTGATATCAGTCCGTGATGAATACTACTTCTAAATTAAAAATCCCCATTCATCTCAAAAATACATTGTCACAATAATGTTTGTACTATTTGTTTCAAAACCTACTATTTCACATTATATAATAGTCTGCTTGATAGTTAGTAGTGGAATCCAAGATGCGCGTTTCGTCCTATTTTGGACTCATCAGCTGGATATACTTGCACCTTAATGAGTAGTATTGGTTCCTATTACTCTTACACATGTTTACTGATTTCATTGTCTAATATTCTAATCAAATAGATACAATTAAGACGGCTAAGTTTAAGGCAGATAGTCTGACAAAGTAGCCATTAAATAGAGGTTGCACACATAAATGAAAACATAGAAAAAGGGATTACACTTACTGTTATGCATAATTTCAGAGACTAATGAAACACTTCACTTTTTTATTGCATTTTTGTTTAAGTTATTGACGTCCTTTTTTCGCGCTTGATTTAAATTTTTCACTGCACTGATAAATATGTTAATAGGATGTGTATCTTATCATGTGAAAAAGAGTAAATAATATTGAGTGAAGAGTGCAAGAATTATTCGATTCGTTAGTGGTTACTTGATGTGTTGGCTAACACAAATGCATATACACACCCACGTACACTTTTATTTCAATCTCCTTACTACTATCAGTATTGAGTTCTAACTATTATTAGTAGTATCAGAAACACTGATTTGTGGTTAATTAATTTCATCTCACTTCTTATTGGCGTTTACTAAGTGATGATAAGTTTGGGAATAAATGAATTAGCTTATCATAGTATGCAGAGTTACGTCTGTTTAGAGGATCTAATGTTATCTAAACCACCGATATTACAAGTAGGCTCATTAATTATCAATAACACCTTCACCGTTCTGTAATTCAGCCGGATTCAGATTGGGTCGGAAAAAAAGTGGAGAAACGTTCGATCAAATTTCATTTAATTTGTTGTATAAGGATAGAAGGCTGTAAGCTTATATTAATCCTTTTCCACTGGATTTCTGTGCTTGTCCAATCTCCTTTTGAACGAGTTAGTTAATGATATGGACACTACTTCTTCTGGGAGTCGGTTCCAAGAGTTGATTACTCTATGTGAGAACCAGTACTCTACGTAGACTATGTTCGTCCTTTGGTTTTGTAGCCTCCTGCTATGTCCTCTGGGATGTTCCAACTGAGTGGGAAGAAAAAGAGAAGATATATCAGGTCAGAAGTCGTTTCTTAGAGTCCTGTATAACATGATTACATCTCCCTTCTGTCTGCGATAGGATAAAGTGAAGAGATTCAGCTCGTTAATTCGGTCTTCATAGGTGGGGCCAGCGGTTGCAGGGATCATATGAGTGGCTGGTCTCTGAAGGTCCGAGTCACCTTTCAGACAAGGATTTGCCGCTTGTATACAGTTTTCTAATTTGGACCTAACTAAAGATGTGTATAAAATGGTGAACATATCACCACTTGTTTTTGTAAACGTTCTACTTAATGCCCAGAGAGTCCTAAAACTCACTGTGACTCCTAGGTCATTGTGGGTCAGTACTGACTGTAGAGGAGTCCCACCAATGTCGTAGGTATTGCTGTTTTTTCCCGTATGTGCATGCTCATACATTTACCTGCATTCATAGGCATAAGTCACCTCTCTGACCAGATAAAAAAGCTGTTTAGGTCTGCCTGAAGTGCACGTATGTTCTCATCATTCCTAATTTCCCTCCAGAGTTTTACATCCTCAGCGTGCAGAACCATAGGGGTTTCGTGATATTTGGCAGCTCATTTATATAAAGCAGAATTAGTAGGGGAACCACTCTACCGACTTCCAAGTAGAGAGTTGAGAATTGATCCTTACTTTTTGTCTCCTACCAACAAAGAACTCTCTGATTTATGCAAGCAGATTGCCAGTGATTCCAAAACTTTCCAGTTGCTCTAGCAACCTAGAATGAGGTATCTTGTTGAATGCGTCACTGGTCTATGAAAATGACATCTACAGGTATCTTATCATCTTCAGAATTAACCCAACTTTCTCTGACGATGAGGAGGTTCGTTAAGCAAAAGGAATTTCTGTGAAAGCCATGCTGTGAACGAGACAATAGAGTGTTACTCTCTAGGTTATCTGTAATGGCTTTTTGAATTAAAGCAAAGTAAAGCAACCTGGCATCTTATCTCACTATGAGCGAACTACGTTGAGGTCGCTCGTTCGAGTCCTACTTCAAACTGGGCTTCCATTTCATCCTCAATAACTATCCAATGTCAATACTTACAGTCCTCCAAACCATAACCACACCAAATAGTCTCATTTATAAATAATTATTGTAGATTTGAAATGTACCAGGTAGTAGTAGTCTCTAGAAATCATCCAACCTTCTTGTCTAGAATTCAATAGCTAACACGTTTTATGTGATGGAGAAGAAACTTCTTTCTTAAGATAGACAGGTGTATCTAAGTGTTCAGTCTATATTTACCAATAACTAAATGAAGTGATCGAGTGAATGATCAGAAATTCGTGAACGATAATAACGCGATGAGATATTTCGGTTAGATATGAATGCACTGAATATTCCCATTCAGACATTTAGAAAAAGACTGATTGAGCGAAGAGATATATTCTTTTTCAATTAGGTCTTCGTCTTTGGCTCTACACTAATATGCATAGTTTTACAATTTAATCAAATTACCAATCATGTAGTGATGTTTTAGAAATAATGATGCAAATAATCAATAGAGTTACTAAAGTTGGAAATATGAAGCAGGTTATTCTTAGGCAAATGGAGTGGTTTTTAATGAGTATTCAGTCATTCAGAATAAGCGATTACGCTGTAATAAGAAGCCAAATGAATATTGATAAAAAGAAGAAGGGGAAGAGGTGTGCAAAGTAAACCTAGAATTTACATCATGTCGATGGTCACGGTGATGACAGTGATCGAACAAACTTTTTTTGAATACAAAGGTTAGGTGTGTGAAGTTGGATTGCATTCGCCTGTGCTATGTGAAGTAATCGAGTATGTAATCCATGTGGTAAATTAATTGGAATGTGATGGATGATTTTGAAGGCTTTTCTAGTAACCACTTGATGTCTTGTGTTCACTAAGTGTTCAAGTATGGAGCTCTTTATAGTTGTAATTTGTCCGTTGTTCAACGACGATGAGTGGTGCTGAGAAATTCGACGATGTGACTGCTTCATTGTACTTCGAACGTAACTAGGTCCATAGGAGCAATTGAATTGGTAAAAGCACATAGAAGTGGCAGAATCGGGCAGTTTATCTTTATTTCTTGCAGCTAGAATCTCACAATTGTAGAAGATGGAGCATAATTTAGCAGCTGGGAAGGCTTTTTGCATGAGTCTTTTCATGCGCTGTATGATCTCACTGGCAATATCACTCTTGATTTTTAGCTTCAAGAAGATTCGCTTCTTAGGAATTGTTGGCGTTCTTGTCTTAACCCTCGTAATATTCATATGCTTAGTTTCTAACTTGTCTGTGTAGCCATTCCTACTAAGCAGATCACGGATGGTGGCACACTCTTTCCTTATAACATCATCTGAGCAAATAGCTATGGCACGGTATGCTAGGCATTTCGCCAGGTTACATTTGAATGGGAGGGGTACGGTACTAAAGAAGTGCGTGTATTGACCCGCTGATGTTGGTTTTCTATATAAACATCGGTTCAGAGGTCCATCTAATCTTCTTACCAACAGAACATCAAGAAATAAGATACTATCATTTTTCTCCTCTTCGATTGTTAAATTGATTGCTGGATGAACACTATTGAACTTATTCAGAACAGCATTCTTATCAATCTCACTTTTGAGAACTATCAAGATATCATCCATGTAACCACAGTATAACTCTAAACGTCTAATAATTTCGTTCAGTGGACCATTCTCAAGTTTTGCCAGGAAAAAGTCTGTTAAAAGCGTTCTAAGGGGTGACCTCCATAGCCACACCATCAAATTGACTGTAGAGTTCATTGTTGAGAAAAAATTGTGCTTTCATCGTACACTTCAGAGATAGCTCCATTTTGCTGTTTGACTTTAGTACTTACCTCAGTTTATAAATGAGAAAACTTGTAGTTTGGTGTTATAGTATGATAATAATAAGATAGCCAAGATCTTCATAATTAGCTAGAAATCCCTAGACCTTTTCACAACTAATCATATAGCTTAGAAGTTCCAAGGGGAATCACATGAACCAACGTGTAAACATCGTAATGCTTGAACAAGTAAAAATCAATAGGATATACTGATCTGGAAAGGCCTAGAAATGGTCAAGGTCATTGTTACTATCTACAAACTGTTGTATTTTGTATATGGTTTGACATTACAGTACACTTCCTGTTATCTCATCTTTTTTATTTACCCAGGAACTTAGAAACCATCAAAGGTGATATCTGGATGTTATTCAGACGTCCACTTATATATATATAACCAGGTTATACCATTGGGCTTAACCTTAGAAGTCTTCATGATGAGATAAACGAAAGATAAAAATAACATTGGGATATTAGATAATCCAAGTCTTTGTTATATTTAAAAGTTGACGATCGACGATAATGATAGTTTTTAGTATAATTGTTTTTATATCATACAGTTGTTGACTGAACCGAATTGATCGGTCTTTATTGGCATATGGGCTCCTGTGCGGATGCTTCGTTATTACCTGTGCTCTAATGATAGTAATGATCGATAGTGGCTAGCAGTGGAATCCAGGATGTGCATTTCGTCGTATTTGGGGCTCGTCAGCTGGATGTACCTGCACCCCAGTGAGTGATGTTCCCACCGGGGTTAGGAATCGGGAGCGATCGCTTCAAACGCCAGCGTGTTATCCATTACACCACCGACTCACGATACCACTTGTTGTGCGACGGGTGTAGTTTTTAGTATAAGGGTTTTTGTATGATAGTTGATGGTGTGTAAAGGTCGAATGGTAACAGAAATTTTAAATCGTTTATAAGGTGCATATAGATTAAAAGGGTGGAGGGAGGGGGTTGAAAACGTGATAGAGTTAATAAACAATCAAAGGATTAGGTAATATGAGTGAAACAACAAATAAACTGGAGTAAATTCAAAATGTTTTGTTAAAAGTTGCTATTATAAAGAAGATGAAATGAAATAACACCTGAAACAATTAAATATAAAAATAAAGTGATAATGACAGTACAAAGGTATAAAGATTAATCTGACAAAAAATTATTATTATTATTTGTCCCTGGGGTTCCTAGTGGAACATACGGCTTCAGTAGCAAGCCTCCATTGCACTCTCTTCTCTCTAGTCTTTTCAACCTATCTCCACAACTGCCCACAACCTCTCATTTCTTCCTCATATCATCTCCTCTGTGTCACCCTCATCTCGGATGCCCAACTCGTCGTTTCTTATGAGGTTTCCACTCAACGGCCTGGCCT